GTGCCCTATGAAAGGTCATACCTTCCTTTATAAAATTGCCATATATTGTATTGACCTTGCTCATTTGGTTTATTCTGTAACCCATGTCCGCAAGAATGTCCATAGAAATAACGTTAATAATGGGAATACAATATTGATATATGGGTCAAAAAATTTGCCATACTTTCTAGTTTCAAACACCGTTTACACAGTTTTGATATCAATTTTAGTTTTCGAGATATGAGCCTGAGCCTTTACCCGCTAATGGTGAAACACGCTGTATAAAAGCATTGGATTTACATAGTCATGATCCACAAAGTACATACGCACGCCTAGGGGGGAGGGGGTCATGCCAAAATGTATGTCCCCACGTTAAACTCCTATGTACGATGGGCGTGTAGGGGGGAGGGGGTCAATTTTTGACCAAAATCTTTCGTACGTACTTTATGTATGACGCCATTTTCTCCGATAGAGGGCGACCCTAAGTGAAATTTATTAAAACTTATTGAAACTTATTTTCAAGTGAAATATTTCAGTTAAATTTAGGAAATATTTCACTACGGCCAACCTTATTAATAACCAAATTTTATTTAATGATAACACTGCTAATATTTATAGAGAAATTAATACATATAATTTTGGTAATATTTACAGTGAACATATTTAAGAATACAAAATAAAAATTTAAAATTAAATTATACTTCTCAATTAGTTAACATGACAAGTTTATTAACTCAATGAAAATATATTACCTTGTAACCTGACAATAATGCTGCATTATTAATGCACCTTGTAATTAATTATTTATTGACAAACACATTGAGTAATATTTTATGTGCTATGAAAACAATTTATCAAAATTAATAAATTAACTTTAAATCCTGAATTGTGTAACACAATTAAAAATATTAATTACTTTGTTACAATTGCACTTGAATTAAGCTTGATAATAATCATTTTCTAAACCCACACAGAATTTATAAACTACTAGACTGAACTCAAAAAGGGTTTAGCAATGAACTATGTTATTATGAACTTGATAAATATATTTTTATAAATAAAATATGTTCAAAATAATAATTAATGAGATGTTTGCCCAATAAATATGGTAGTTTATATAATTGATTACTAGCAAAATTGTCAAGTTCTAGTATACTCAAATAGGATATAATTATTAACTTATTTAAGCCTACAAGGTGAATCAAATTACGAACAATTGTTTATATGCTTGTTTAGAAATTATAAATCATATAATTAATGTATATAATTAATTGTTTCCGAGTCATAATCATACGTAACATGGTATTTCTCTAAAAAATTAGTATATAAACTGCACACAACTTTACCTAAATTCACATTGATAACTTCACATTTAGTTATACAAAATAATAATTAATAAATAAAAATTATCTCAAAAATGCAATTACTAGCCTCGATCATCGTACTATGTACCATGGCATTATGTATGGCACAATGCCGTGATATTATACCAAAATCACGAGTAGTTGGTGGTAGAAATGCCCCGATCAATTTGGCACCATGGCAAGTTTTGTTTCTGAGCCCAACGGTCGGTGGTGACTATCAATGCGGTGGTTCCCTAATCAATAAGGACTGGGTGCTAACGGCTGGACATTGTTGCTATACGTGAGTGCATTTAATATAATTTCAAGATGTTCTGGATTAATAGTTTAATAAAAAAAATTCTTATATAATAACTTAAATACTAAATTTAACATATATGAGAAAGTAATACGAAATGAGTCTTTAAAAAGCTTAAATTTTATCTTTAACTATTGTTTTCTAACTTTACATGTAATTTATTATTTTCAAAATTACACTCATATGTATACTATATAATTAAGTTATTATAGTTAGAATTTAATTTTATCAATATATATAACAAATTTTGTACTAGGCCACCTATAAGTGGGTCGAAAATACAAATCCAATACGGGGGCACAAACAAAAACTATATGCCATTTGCGACAACAGCAAGCAAAGTCGTTATTCACCCGCAATTCAATATAACCTCAGTCGACCACGACTTTTGCCTGGTCAAATTAGATCAACCAGCCTATCAAAGTGCCACGGTCAGATATGCCACACTGGCCACTGGGTACCCACATAACGGCACAAAGGTTATTGTATCCGGGTGGGGTTTGACAAATGGCAGCGCCCCATTGTCATTTGCTACAGATTTACAGTACGCAGTATTGAGCGTGGTCGATCGGGATACCTGTGCTCAGGAATGGGCATCTAGACAAAGTATTAACAAGGTTGATGATACTAACATTTGCGCGCAAAGTAGCACTCAAAGTGGATGTGCGGTAAGTTAGATAGATTAATTTAATAAGCTCATTTATCACAAATAATTTTTAATATAATTTATAATTATATTAATTTAATAATATTGCTAAAACACATTAAAATAAAGTTAAATATCGAATAATTAAATCATATTATTTTTATTATTAAAATAGGGTGACTCCGGTGGTCCACTAACTGTGAATGGTGAATTGGTTGGAGTGGTATCATATGGTGTTAACCAATGTCCATTGAACTATTTGCCCAATGTATTTGGCTATGTACCCTCAGTTAGAGCCTGGATCGATAGTACTACGAAACCACAACATAACCATGTTACCTATTTCCCTGATGGTTCATTCGTTATAATCGACCCGGAGCTAATTGATTACCCTGGTGGTCAATATTTGCAACTACCCCGTGGTTATAATACGTTTAATGACTATAATATGTTTTAAATATGCCAATTTAAAAATATATTATCAATTTGTTTAAATGGACTAATAGACAATAAGCATTTAGAAATAACTATGAATTAATATCCTTAAAATTTTATTAAAAATTTCATTTAAAAAATTATTCGCTTTAATTTTATTTTAAAATATGCAAATATATATATATTATAAGTAACATGCTCACTTTACTTATAATGAATTACACATTATATAATGTATTTATATTACCCGTAAACCATACGATAAGTTTTACCGTATACCTTAACTTAATCATTAATAATTTTGTTTTCTATTACTGTAATAAGTTTGGTCATTTTATTGTGTTTTAAAAATTATATGAATGTTATATGTATTATGAGCTTGATTAAATAGACTATTCATTCAATTTATTTACAATTGACATATTGTTTATTTTGTCACCGATACGCATGGCACTGGTATGTGTATAGTTTAGTTATAGGGAAAGGCGGTTAACAGTAGTTTGTCTTAAAAATCATCTGGTTAAAATTGTATCGATAATTAAATGTCAAAAAACTTTCTTTTTTTTATATTACTATTACAGTATTGGCAAAGTTTTAGTCAATGATTTTCATTTTGAATTCAAATCATTTATTTTCATATAAATCTAAATGTTTGCCAAAATAAAGCTAATGTTTTACGAGTCAATTGTTTAGGTGTTGTTTGAATGCAATCAATATTTTTGGCTAAAAACCTAAAACTCAATGAAATACTAAACACTCAACGCATGTATCACTAAATCATAACTCAATTTAATTACTAAACACTCGATAAGTATTGACACAAATGAATACAAAACACAAAACTTTTATTTCAATTGAAAACACAATTTATTTATTACTTTTGCATTGCATTCATGAATTCATAGGGGGTTTGGGAAGTGTGGGAGAAGGGAACTGTAGTTTATAGCAATCGCTACCGGCACTGGTAATCGGCCAACGATTTTATGGTACGTTTCCATAACTCCCGCAACCGGTAGTCGACGGCACCGTTCAGTTGGTGTCCGTGTCTTTGTAGGCGTCCTATAAGGGGAACGGTATGTGATTATCAGTGAGACAGTAGTCAATGGGTTTTGCGTTGAAATAAAGTAATCATTTCATTCACTGCTTCCTCCGAGTCGTCGTCAATAAGTCTTAAGAGTATTGAAGTCGTTGTCCACAGAGTATGTGTGCACTCAAGAAATTCCTCCGCATCCCTGTCCACACATTCGTTCAGATATCGGGTACACAATGACAGTCCATCTGAGGGACACCCCTTCGGCCTAACCCTCCATTTGTGTCCATATCTTGAACTTCGGGTACTTATCGGTGGC